AAATTTTGATCACGTAACCACAGAGAGGCCACAAAACGGTCCTAAAGTGGGAAAAACAGTCATAAGTCTTTTTTTCTTTTTGCAATGCTGTTGTAACTTTGAATGGTCACTAAATGAGTGAGTGTAAATTAAGGACTACCGGTACAGGAGTTTAAATTTTGTAGATCTGAAAAAGTTAGATCTGAAGGGATTTAAAGTCCAGTCTAAAATTAAATTAAAACTTTTCTGTTTCGAAGTCCTTTTGTAGTAATGTTGGCAGAGTATGGCATGAGGTAACATCTATATGTAAATAATATCCAATTATGCATCCCCTCTTAAAAAATCTGTCAAAAAACTGTCCTTGTGTCTAAGTTTTATTTATTTATTTATTTATTTATTATTTATTTATTTATTTATTTATTTATTTATTTATTTATTTATTTATTTAATATAACTTGCCAGAACAACTAGTCAAAAGGGCAGTTTTTTCCACCCATGCCATCTCTCTGCTAAACAACTAATTCCCACAACACTGTCAAACTATCTAGTAAGGCTGAATTACTATTATTCTTCTCATCTTTCCTATTACCTATCTCCTTATCTTCTTATGGACTATAACTTTGTTGCTTCTATCTTCACAATTTCTATTGTTTTATTTAGTATCCTAATATGATTTATGTTGATTGCTTATTTAGTATCCTATGACTATCACTAAGTGTTGTATCTTATGATTTATGATGAATGTATTTTTACGATGACTATGATCATGATTTATCACTTGTGGTTTGTATGTACAGCAAGAGCTTCTGCACCGGAGACAAACTCCTTGTGTATGTCCAATCACACTTGGCCAATAAAGAATTCTAATTCTAATGAAATAAAACAGAGCTCTGTATATCTCATCCCAGTGCCTGGAGGTTGTGAAGGTTTGGATGATACAACAGGCTTCAGCTGAACCCTGGCAAGACTGAATGGCTTTGGGTTTAAGAGCCTGCTGGTTCTAAAACTTTGATAGTGGGTGGGATTTCATTGCCCCAAATAGATCCAGTGTGCAACTTGGGGGTCTTTATGGATCCGTGAGTCCTGCCTGAAGAGCAGGTGGCATTTGTAACTAGGAGAGTGTTTTTTTTAAAAAAAGTACTCTGTTTCCCCCAAAATAAGACATCCCCTGATAATAAGCCCAATCGGGCTTTTGAGTGCATGGCAATAAGGCCAAGCGCTTATTTCAGGATTCAAAAAAATATAAGACAGGGTCTTATTTTCGGGGAAACACGATATATATAAACTCGTTACGCCCATTCGTAGATCAGGGGGGCTCTAGTTCATTGCAAAATGCCATGGAGTTGCAACGCATAGCAGTGACAGCTCTGGTAGTCCTGAGTGCAGGAGTTAGGTCAGGATTGTCGATGAGGACTCTCAATCATCTAGGCCAGGGGTGTCAAACTCAAGGCGCTTAAATCTGGCCCGTGGGGCGGCCTGGAAGTAGCAAAGGACTGGCCTGCGGTGCCTCTGGCAGCCAAAACAGAGGGCGGGGGGGGGGGGAACATGTGACCTACCCGTTTTCAGCCTGGACAGTCTCCAGCAGCACTTTGCTGGCCAAAACGAGGCATGGGGAGTTGCATGCAGCCCCCGCGCGGTGCCGTTTTTGGCCTGGATGGCTTCCTGCAACACTTTAGCGCCCTGTTCTCCGAGGTGAAGAAACGCCAGTCAGGCTGGGGTAATCGGCTCCTTTATCCAGCGATGACCGGGTCTGCACTAATTTGAATAGCTCCGCCCTCTTCTCCAGTGTTTCGACTCGGTCCTTGACTGGATAGTCGTGTCTTCAGCTCTCGCTTGCTATTTCTTCTAAATTCCACCTAATTTCAACTTTATTTCATCTAATTGGTATCTGGCTAAATTTAAGCAGCTTCTTCCTGGTTGGAGGCTTCCTGTATTGCCGCTAGCCGGGGCTCCGGCTTGGAATCTCTCGGCTGACAGATTCCCTCATTAGCGGTAAATTCCTGCCTCCTTTACTCGGCGCTGCATTTCAAAGGCGATTAGCCCAGCAGCCGCCCTTTGTTTACGAACGGCAAGCTCCCTGAAAAACATCGCAGTAATAGCCTCGAGCTAGCGATTCTGCCTAATTGCTTGCCTGAACGCTGCAGAGAATAAACTACGGAGCAGAGCCTTTCGTCTGTAAGTTTCTGGGCCGTTTATTTTTGGCGCGCTTGGGACGGCGGCCATTTTAAAGGGGCATAACTTAATTCGGGCTATGGCTGACAAGCAAAGAGGCCGCAATCGCTCTCGTAAGCCCTCCTCCGATCCCCTAGAAGGGCCTTCAAGCCTGGCCATGCCATCAAGGTCTCATAAGGCCAGTAAGACCTCTTCATCCCAGGCCACGCCAGCGTCTTCCAGAGAGGAGCAGCGGCGCCACAAGGCCATGGAGAAGGCCTTTAACAGGGCTTCCTCCAGAACAAGGCCCACTTCACCTGATCACCTCCCTCCACAGGCCTCATCCTCAGGGCTGGCAGGGCAGGCCTCATCTTCAGGGCTGGCAGGGCTGGCAGTCCAAGACGAAGCCCGTAGTGTCAGAAGCCTTTCCCCTGATCGCCCAGCCCCCTTGGAACCTGCCCTTCCACCCGGCAAGGAGCCTCTTTTCCAGACTGAGGCTGGCTCTGTTCCATCACCCTCCCCTCTGCAATCCTCCCAATTGCCTGCTCCTGCAGCTCCTCCATTTCATCAGGATCCAATCCCTCCTCTTCCAGAGGCATTTGAAGCCCTCCTCATCAGGGCTATGCGCCAGGGCTTTACCCAATGCCTCCAACAGGCAGGCCTTCAGTCCCCTAACCCAGCTCCAGTCCTCCAATCCACAGGAGACCTTCGCCATCTTCCTGAAGCGGATCCTTCTTCGGACATGGATCAGGATGATTTAGAGCTGGCCGCGGAAGGAGCAGCTGTCTCCGAGCCCGAGGAGGCCCCTGACTCCGCTCTATCTGAGGATGAGGGTCTGAGCCCAGATAAGTCCCCCTTCATAGGCCTTTTCCACCCTCAGATGTTCCGCTCTCTCCTATTTAAGGCCATTGCTACCACCCGACTTGGCGAGGTTCCCCTTCCAGAGTCCTCATCTTCCTCTGCTGATCCTGCTTCAGCCTTGTTTGCTGAGCCTACTGTGGCCCCTGAAACCATTCCAGCACCAAAGCTGTTTCTGGATGTTCTTCGTCGTCAATGGTCCTTGCCTGGGGCTGGTCCAAGCCCTAACAATCTGGACAAGCGCCTCTACAACGCTGCTCCTGCAATGTCTGACCTCCTTCAGCCTCCCACTGTCGACGCCCCAATCGTGGCTTTGGCCAACCCATCACATCCTACAGGAACACCAGAGGATGTTCTTCGCCCTGAGGACAAGCGCGCAGAAAAGACGCTGATCAAGGGCCATCTCGCAGCTGCCTGGTCTATTAAATCATCCTCTGCGGCCTCATTCTTCAACAGGGCCGCTCTCCTCTGGATCAAACAACTCCGGGACCACTTACCTCACTCTGATTCCAGGGTTCAACAAGACATCAACAAAATCACAGCTGCCCTAGAATACTCGGCTGACGCAACTCTGAACGCTACCCGTTTTGCAGCAAAGGCCCTGAGTTCCTCTGTCACTTCCCGCCGCCTCTTATGGCTTAGGAACTGGCAGGCGGACATGCGCTGCAAGTGGCAGCTAGCATCCTCCCCTTACTCACCCGGAAATCTCTTTGGTCCGTCCTTGGAACCTCTCCTGGTCGAGACTCGGGATCGACGCAAGTTCCTCCCTTCCCAACATCGACGTTCCGATTCCCGCTACTCACCTTATCCTCGCCTCCAGTCCTTTCGGGCATCGGACTCCTCCTTCCAGTCCCGCTTCCAGCGTCCGTTCCTGCCAAGATCATCCCAGCCCGACAGTCAGGTCAGAACGGGGGGTCGGTTCCCACCTAGACGCTCCTTTCGGGGGGGTCGGGGTCGGTTTTCCCGGAGAGGCAGATAGATTCAAGGGGGATCCTCCAATTGGGGGCCGCCTTTCCCTTTTTTATGACCAATGGCGGTCTTCCATTTCTGACGCTTGGGTTTTGTCTTCTATAAATTCAGGCCTTCTGTTAGAATTTTCTTCACCTCCTCCCTCACTCTTTCTTTCCTGCCCTCTCTCCAAGGATCCAGTTAAACAGGCCTTGGTTTCCTCTGCTATATCCCATCTCTTATCTATCAGGGCAATCCAACCCGTTCCTCCTGACCAGCGGGGACGGGGTTTTTACTCCCGCCTCTTCATTGTAAAGAAGGCATCGGGAGGCTGGCGAGCCATTTTAGATCTCAAAGCCTTGAACCGGTACATAACTTACCGCCGGTTCAAGATGCACACGTTGTTTTCCATTCTAGAATGCCTTAGACCTGGTGACTTTCTTTCCTCCATAGACCTCACAGAGGCCTACCTCCATATTCTTATTCACCCTTCTCACCGCCAATTTCTCCGTTTCCACTACATGGGTTTCCATTACCAGTACCGGGCCCTACCCTTTGGTCTGTCTTCAGCCCCTAGGGTCTTTACTAAGATTATGGCCTCCCTAATTGGCCATATTCGTTCTCTCCCTATCCGTTTACAATTTTATTTGGACGACATTTTAGTTATGTCCTCCTCTATCTCCTCTGCACACGCTGACCTTTCTACTGTCCTAAACCTCTTGCAAAGTCATGGTTTTTCTGTGAATTGGGCTAAGAGCCATCTCTCCCCATCTACCCGTATTGTCCATCTTGGGGCTTCTATTGATACCCTTTCCTCCCAGGTATTCCTTTCTCCCGACCGTCAGGCCAGTCTTAAAGCCTCGGCCGATCTGTGCATTTCACAGAAATCAGCGTCCCTTCTAAGGTTATCCGGCCTGCTTGGTAAGATGGTCTCCACCTTTGGGATTGTCCCATGGGCCCGGTTACATAGTAGGGAGCTCCAGTGGCTTCTCCTTCCCCATCAACGAGCGGGTCAAGCCTCTTCACGGTCCTGTATTCGCCTGCCTCGATTAGTCATCTCTTCCCTCAGATGGTGGACTTCGGACGCTATCTCCAAAGGCTCATTTTTCAGAGAACCTCCTCGCCTGATCCTCACAACGGACGCCAGCTTGACAGGTTGGGGGGCCCATCTCCTTCATCATATGGCCCAGGGTCAGTGGTCCCGGCTAGAACGCCGCAACAACATCAATTATCTAGAACTGCGTGCGGTTCGACTAGCTCTCCTTCGGTTCCAATCTCTTGTGGAGGGCAAGGACGTCCTTGTTCTAACCGACAACATGGCCACGAAGGCTCATATAAACAAAATGGGGGGCACTCATTCCAGGGCCCTGCTAGCAGAAACGGTCCTCCTTGGTCGGTGGGCCGAGACGCATCTCACCTCACTGAAGGCGGATCACATATCAGGGACAACCAACCTCCAAGCGGATGCCCTCAGCCGCTCTCGATTGGATCACGGGGAGTGGAGCCTTCCTCTCCCTCTATTCCACAACATCACGGACCGCTTCGGCCTCCCAGTAGTAGACCTCTTTGCCTCGAGCCAGAACAACAGGCTCCCAAGGTTCTTCTCTCGCTTTCCGGATCCCCAGGCCGAGGCCACGGATGCTCTCCGCACCCCGTGGCCAACAGGACTCCTATATGCCTTCCCCCCTCTACCTCTCATCCCCCGGGTTCTCCGGAAGATGTTGGACGAAAGAGCGGAACTCATCCTAATTGCACCACACTGGCCCCGCAGACCTTGGTATGCGGATCTTCTGTCGCTGTCAATAGCACCTCACTGGTGCATTCCGGACTCCAGGATATTACTCACTCAAGGGGCTCTACATCATCCAGATCCCGCTTGGCTCCATCTAACCGCCTGGAGGCTGAGCGGTTCCTCTTAGGGGAAGCCAGGATCCCTACCAGAGTGATTTCCACGATGCAGGCGGCTCGCCGACCGTCTACTTCACGTATTTATGAAGCTACGTGGCAATCATTTTCTAAGTGGTGCAGACGCTCCTCCATTGATCCACTGTCAGCTTCTGTTCTGCAAGTCCTTTGCTTTCTTCAAGACGGGTTTGATTCCGGCTTGACTCCAAATACACTGCGACGTCAAGTGGCAGCCATCGCTTCTATTCTATCCTGCAATTCTCCAGATTCCATCGCTCGTCACCCTCACATTCGCATCTTCCTTCGGGGGGCGGTCAACCTCCGTCCTCCCCCAATTCATCGCTACCCTACATGGAACCTCAACAAGGTTCTGAATGCCTTAACTCTGTCTCCGTTCGAGCCCCTCCGTCAAGTGTCCCTCCGCTTTTTGTCATTCAAGGTGGCCTTCCTCGTTGCCATCACCTCAGCACGCCGGATCTCCGAGCTGGCATCCCTATCAATCCGCAGCGACCTCTGCATTTTTCATACTGACAGGGTGGTCCTCCGCCTTGATCCGGCATTCCTACCCAAAATCAACTCTAGATTCCACCGAGCTCAAGAGCTCGTGCTACCGGATTTTTGCCCGCGGCCGGGGCATCGATTGGAAAGATCTTGGCATCTCCTCGACGTTCGTAGAGCATTAAAGATTTACATCTCTCGGACGGCCCCCCTCCGTAGAACGGAGGCCCTCTTCGTATCTTTTCAACCTGCTTCCATCGGTGCCAGAGTCTCCAGTGTCACCATAGGGCGTTGGATCAGGGCCACTATCGCCACAGCATATCAACAGCAACATCTCCCAGTTCCGCCTCGCATCACGGCCCACTCGACTAGGAGCGCCGCCACGTCAGCGGCTTGGGCCACCCAAGCTACTCTGGAGGAGGTTTGCCGGGCGGCAACGTGGACGTCGATCTCTCCATTCATTCGACATTACCGGGTGGACTCCTTCGCCTCTGCAGACGCTGCCTTTGGTCGCCGGGTCCTGCAGGAGGTGCTTCGTTCATAGAAGCCGGCGGGCCGGAGTTCCCTCCCTGGTGACACCTAGCTTTGGTATGTCCCCAGCCTGACTGGCGTTTCTTCACCTCGGAGAATGGACGTTGGTCTTACCTGATACGTCCGTTCTCGAGTAGTAAGAAACGCCAGTCAGCCCCGCCCCTGGTCCGGCCCTCCGGAATGGATGGGAGGGGGGTTTGGACATTAATTCTCTATCATTTCAGGAAGACACGACGGTCTGCGCCATGGCCCTCGCCGAAACACTGGAGAAGAGGGCGGAGCTATTCAAATTAGTGCAGACCCGGTCATCGCTGGATAAAGGAGCCGATTACCCCAGCCTGACTGGCGTTTCTTACTACTCGAGAACGGACGTATCAGGTAAGACCAACGTCCATTTTCGGCCACGTAGCCCCATGCACCACTTTGCCACCCAAAACAGGCCATGTGGGGGCCGCACATGTCCCCCATGCCCTGTTTTGGCTTGTGAAGTGTTGCAGGGGGCTCTCTAGGCCAAAAATGAGGCATGCGGGGGCTGCATGCGGCCTGCCCCCGTGCCCTGTTTTGGCTGGTAAACTGCTGCAGGAGGCGTCCGTCCTGTCTCCCCCTCCCACCCCGGTCCAGCCCACAGAGGAGAACTACAGTGCTGATCCGGCCCTCGAAGAAATCCAGTTTGATACCTCTGATCTAGGCAAAGGTGTCTAAAGGTTGAATTGTGGCAACTGGACTACTTTTTTATTGTTAATTCAAGATATTTTGCTGCTCATCCAAGCAGCTTCCATCAGTCAGAGTTTAGGTCAGGATGCATCATATCTACCTCATGCTTTTCGTGCCTTGTTGCCTCTGCTTCAACTCCCTGCTCATGTCCCCTCCATCTCTGCCCTCTGGGCCATCTTGCAATCCACTGCCTAACCCTGCCACTCCCTACTGTCCCCAGTTGAGTTTTATTTATTTATTTATTTATTTTTTATTTGATTTATATGCCGCCCTTCTCCGGAGACTCAGGGCGGCTTACAATGTGTTAAGCAATAGCCTTCATACTTTTGTATATTTATACAAAGTCAGCTTATTGCCCCCACAAACTGGGTCCTCATTTCACCTTCCTTAGAAAGGATGGAAGGCTGAGTCAACCTTGAGCCTGGTGAGGTTCGAACCTGCAGAAATTGCAGGCAGCTGTGTTAATTACAGGGTGCATTAAACCACTTTACTACCAAGGCTCCTACCAAGTTTTGCCTCCTTCCTCCTTCCATTGTTGATAAAGACGTGCCTGGCAAAGACAGCTGCCTTTGGCCGCACACGCCTCTTTAGCAGCAGGAGAAAGGAATGTTAGCTGGGATGAGTGGTGGCGGCAGGAGTAGGTGGCGATGTGGGGTGGCCAAAAGAGCAGAGACGGAGAAGGATAGGCAAGCAGTGGAAGTTGAAACACCTGGTAGTCATTAGTGTGGGCAGGCTTGCAAGTGCACGAATTTTTATCACATGATTCCAGCGTCTCTGCTATGGAAATGGGACAACTCTCCGCTGCCAACTTCATCATCTTCATTTAATGACCCCATAATCCCTTGCAGGGTGGAGTCTGGGCAACTGAATGGAGCTGAGTGTTTTCTGGCCGAATGCCCTTCCTGTTGCCAATGCGGAGTTTTGTTCAGCAGGTATATTCTCATTGTGCCCAGAGAGAGAAATATCGGCCTCTACCTAGGATCGAACTCATAGATTCCTGATTGTGAGGCGAGAGCTCCACCTCTAGGCCACCTTACCACTCTTTCACTGCGGCTAACTTGCTGCAGGACAAATCAATGCGGGACAATTTAACAATTCTATTTAATTATTTGAAATAAATTAAAAAAATATTTTAATTTTTGCCATTCACATTTCATTCTGTCCCTTCTTTTGCATCCTTTCTTTAATTATTTTATTCCACCATTTCTGATATTAATGTAACTCTTATCCCGCAGCAAGTTGGCTGTGGTGAGTTGGCCGCAGTGAATTGTCATAGACCCCTGTGCAAAAACTGACCATAACCACAATTATCAGAGTTCCATCACTCTAATTCCCACAGGACCATCATAATGCCTAAATGTAGTAGGGCTGTATTGCTATTATCCTTCTCATCTTTTCATTTTTCCTACTACCTTCTCCTATTGGTTTCTTATGATTTATCACTTGCTGTTTGTATCTTATGATTAATGATTGTATCTTATGATCTATGACCTGTCACTTTGTTGTTTGTATGTACACTGAGAGCAGTGGTGGGTTTCACATTTTGTTGCTACCGGTTTGCCATGTGCACGCTCACTTCGCATGCGCACGCACCTGCGCATGTGCCCGGCCTTCGTGCATGTGCCCAGCCTTCGTGCATGTGCCCGGCCTTCCGACATGCGCTTTGCTTGTGCGTGCGCCTTCCATACATGCGCCCGGCATCAAAACCATGCCTAAATAGGACGGCATAGAGCCGGGGCAGGTGGCCGAGCCCACCTGTGATGTCCGCTACCGGTTCGTACGAACCGTCTGAATACCACCTCTGACTGAGAGCTTATGCACCGGAAACAAAATCCTTGTGTGTCCATTCACAGTTTGCCAATAAAGAATATTCCTATTCCTATTCCTACTCATTTAGCACCATTGTAAATTTGAACCATCACTGGAAAATGGCAGTTAAGCAAATGTAATTCAGTTTGAACAGCAGGAAAGCAGAATGCTCAAAGAAGTTCACATTGGTTAATAGTAAGAAGCTGGAGCAAGAAATTAGCCCAAAGTGGTGAATATCAAGCTGATCAGAAAATCTTTTATTTGCGCGTCATTCAAAATGGCTCCCAGGTTCAATCTGATGCAAGTGGCATTCTCAGCAGTGTGATATCCAAAGACTGTATGGAAGTGGGTTAAAGGTTCTGTTTTATTATCCATGATGCTAACTACTAAAAATTATTCTGGCAGGTGTGTTATGTTGCAATGTTGTCAGAAAAGTACACATCCTTTGCAGCTGCGACTGGCCTACGCAATGATCTAAAAAAAGATCCTGGTCTGTATTGATCAGTGCGATTTGATCCAAGGCCATTTCCCTGTTCTCATTTATGCTGTTTTCCCAGCTATTGATTCAAAGGAATGGCAGCAACCCGGTTAGATGACATAAGTTGTAGCACGTTACTGATTGGCCAATTTGTCCTCTTGGGAACTTGCCTTTTCACAATAAATGAACGAGTGTGTAATGTTTTTGACTCATTGGGTTCTCTGTCTAGTTTTAGGTCTTCTGTGGAGAGAACATCACATTTTCCTCCTCATTGTTCCGACACTCCACTCATTGGGATTTCCTCTTCGCCATTAGCCAGACTGAGTGCCAATCAAATTTTCCTCCACAGCTTGGTTCCGCCTCCTCCTTCTGCGCATGGTCAGTCTTTTCACTCAGTCGCTGGTGACTAGACTTGAGTGCCTTGTGTCTTGTGTAATTTAGCGACTATTTAGTTAAAATTGTTAATTTTAAGGAGTGATAGGCTGAGGGCTACGATCTGTGCTTTAATTGACAGAGGCGCGAACAGGCATTTCCCGGCTGGGACGCTGGCCGCGGCTTTTAACAGTTTGAATTAGCGCCTTTAAGGAAACGGTGTTTCCCCCTTACAGCTGAAGTATTGAACATTCACTTTTAATATAGAGTGTTGGAACTCACAAATTTTTCAGCACTGCTGTATATAGGCCCCGTTCAGAGGTGGTATTCAGCCGGTTCATACCAGTTCAAGCGAACCGGTAGCAGAGATTCCGGGTGGGCTTGCCCGCCCCCAGCTCTAGAACATCCTATTTAGGCACTTTTCGAGGCTGGGCGCATGCACAGAAGGCGTGTGAGCAAGCAAAGTGCATGCGTGGAAAGCCAGGCATATGTGTGGCAAGAATATTGGAAACCCACTGCTGGCCCTGTTGACGTTTTTATGGGACTATGGAGTGACCATGAGAGTCCAGGAAAAGAAATCAGGTACTGATGTGTGTAGTATGTATACTCACACCTGTTCTGAAGCAGTTTCCCCAGTTTGAATTAAAAGTGCTCTGTATTTTTGGTAAGCGAATGGGTTTATGCAGATATATATATCCACATTTTTTAGTGGCTCATAAGTGCAAACAGTTGGGAGAAAATGTATTCAGGATTGGATTCAGTTCCTAGTTGTGAATGGTGTATCACATTTTGTTGTGGTCCGCCGGCGGCCTGCGGAGCTGGCAGCAGAGTCGGACAGTGAGGAGGTTGGGGAGGAACATGGGTCAGTACTGGAGTCTGGGGAAGGCTCGGATGAGGGCTCTGCGTCGGAGGCAGAGTGGAGGCCAGGGCCATCTGACAGTTATGGGCTGCCTCCAGAACCCCCAGAGTTGGACATCAGTGAGGCAGAGGAACAGGGGGATCCTGTTCCCAGTGTGCGCATGCGCAGAGCTGCCAGAAGGCAAGAACAGTTAAGACAAAAGGGACAACTCGGGAGTAGGGCTTGGAGATGATTGGCCCCTCCCATAAGACATAAAGGAGGAGCAAAGACAGACATGAGCCTTTGCAGGAAGCAACTTTATTCGTTCTGGTTGGTTTAAATTCTGAAGCTCCGTTTTCACTCTGTTCTCCGTGTGGCCTTGCAAAGTTAATTGCCAATTAGGTCTTTGGCAGCGTGTCAAGGGAGATAAGGTGGGTGTTTATCAGCCTTATCCCGTAGGACTGTGGCAGACTTCTATCGAACTCTTTACAAATTATTTGTGACTCATTACGGGCTGTGAATGAACACAATTCACAGCCGTTGAAATAAAAAGAGGGTTTTTGGGACTAATCGTGTGCTTTTTACTGTCTCAGGAGGCCTAGGTCAGAACATATTTTTTCTCTTTTGTATCTTTATTCCATTCAATCTTTTCTGCAGGATTGTTTTAAATTCAGGGTTGGCTCTCTCTTTTTTGGTATTCAGGGTATGTTTCTAACTGGAGGGTTTGAACACTTTCATACTCTCAAGTGACAGTGAATGTTGCATTCTAAAGACGACCTGCCAAAGGGAGAACAGGCTTGCCAAATGAAAATAATGAACCAAAAGAAAATGTACTTAATGGTTATTGCAGTGCAGATGAAAATCCTAGCTTTAATACTATATCAGAATATCTGAGTTGAAATGGACCTTGGAGGTCTTCTAATCCTCAAGCATGGGGACCCTATACAGTAGTGGCCAAAATTGTGAAAATGGTGTTACTAAGCTAGTTTTAGAGAATACACTTTTCCCAAAAGGTTTCCACAATTTTGGCCACTACTGTACTTTGTCAGACAAACGGCCGTCCAATCTCTCCTTAAAAACCTCCAGGAATGGAGCAGCCACAACTTTTGAAG